CTAGCCCTGGTTTTTTTTTTTTTTTTGTTCATGTTAAGCTCCCAAAAACTATTGTAATGTGTTTTTAAGCATTAGAAGTGCATGCTAATCCTTTTTCGTAGGCGAGTGAACATATCAGACAGGTTCAGCAGTGGATGAACTCAATTCAAATGTCAATAATAGGCTTAATAACAGATGGAGTGATCGCGTGCAAGTATGATTTGTTTTAGGCAGTATGCTCTTATAGTGTACCAGCTCCAGGCCTGAGTTAGATATGGTTCGTTGCGTTGAGAAAGTGTTGCATCAATTTGTCTAATTTTGGCAAGTTCTATGGATGTTTTAGGATCATACTTTGGGCGCCAGGGTTTCCTTTTCGCCTCTTATCCCCATTAATGGAGGTATAGAAATTGAACGAGCGAGCCCCGCTTTCTCTCTCTTTTCTGCTTCTCGTCTCCTTTTCTCTTTCCTTCTATGAAAGGGATGTTACGCGTTATAAATCCCTTCTCCGTTATCCCCCATCTGCAGTTACTTACATAGCATCGCCATACCTTCCTCCGTTTGCCAGAAAAAAGCTTAGAAATCATTCGGCTCGACTTCAAAGCTCGTGCGTTTAAACTTTCTTTAAAATACCGGGGTTTTGGTTTTAGGTAATTGAAATTCCAGTAACTATTTTAGAATTTGTTTAGTATTATGATAGATAATATATTTTTTAATATTATAAATAATCTGAAAATATATATAAAAAAAAACCAATTTTTTGACAAACAAATGTGGCTGCAATGCCAGCTACGCTATTAATAGAAAAGCAAGTTTTAATTCAATCTCACCCCTAAAAGGACAGCCGGTTCCTGTAGGCTTTGGAACTAAAAGTTCATTAATAAGAAGATGGCATGCTCTTAGCTCTAATTTTGGTTTTTGTCGCGTCAATTACCATCTTAATTATTTTTAGGTAAATAGTATTTTCCTGAAAGGATATAGTTTAGCTTAATTATTTTACCAACCAAAAATATATGTTTCGAGTTTTGTAATTCGAGGTTAAAATCTTCGATTGGAGCCTAAATTGCACTTCTTTCCAAAGAACTCGACCGATAGATGTAGTGATGCATCAGCAATTGATTGTGGTAATTAACCCTTTTGTTCTTATGAATAACAGCAATCAGTAATTAGTATAGTTATCAGATATAGCTTGAAAATTGACCTAAATTATTAGATTATAGATTAATTCAAATTAATTTTTTTATTAAAATGAAGCCATTTAATTTATTTAAAACAAATTAAAAAATTAATCCAATTAAATTTTACGGCATCAATCCAGTTATGAATCAATTCATTGAAGTTAACTAGATTATATAGTTTAATTTAAAACATGATTTGAATCATAAATTTCTCGGTTAACTTTATCAAAAACAGTATAATTGTAACAACTATAATAATTAACTTTAATGCCACAAATTTCTCATCTCTAGTAGCTTTCATGACTGTTTTTTTTTAAATATTTTATAAAAAATATTTTTAATTGAAATTAGTTTAGTATTTATATATATTTGATTAAAATCGCGGTTAATATTAAAGTTAAACAAAAAATAATTTAATGTGTTTAGTTAAGAATATTTTTTAAATTGAGGTTATTTAATAACTAAAAAAGATATATATTAATATTGATGGTTTTTAATTTGAATATTATAGATTTAATTAATTCTATTATATTATGAAATAAAAATAATACTTTGTATAAAATATTTTTTATTATTCTATTAAACTATCTACAATTTTATCATTATTTTTTTTTATTTTTTTTTTAGCATACAATAAAATCAGGTAAAATATCATTATGAATAAAATTAGGATTATGATCAAATTTTATAAATATTATATTATTATGTGATTTTTTCTAATTTATATAGTATCATTAAATAATATTAAATATTAATTTTTTAAATAAAATATAATTAAAAATAAAAATAAAAATAAATTTTATTATTATTCTTTTTGACAACTTTTATGTACAGAGAGCTTAGTGAATGCAGTTCCCTTTCGTAACGTGAACAATGAGTGCAGAGGTTCACTATACACTCATTGTTCACGTTAGTCATGCAAAATGTTTTTTAAAAAAATTGGGACCCCACATATTCATTTTGCCACGTAGTAGATTTTCATTGCATAACCACCTAATTTCTCCCAACCATTTCCACTCTTTGAATTAAACCTTGCACAGATGATATTTTTAGCTTTTAAAAAGATAAATGGTGTAAAACGCTAATAAAAATAACAAATAGTTATGAAATTATTTCTCAGCAGAGCCCATCTCTAAACCAAATATTTAACCAACCAGCTATAAATTATAATTGAGACAAACAGATATTTAAACAGTGTTTGTTTGTGCAGCTTTACTATATTTTTTAAAAAAATTTAATTTTTTAGAGTTTATAGATATTTTTATATTGTATTATCAACTATATATATATATATATATATATATATTATTTTAATATATTTTTAAATAAAAAACACTTTAAAATATCTCTGCCTCCTTCTCCCTCTCTCTCCTTTGCCTAACATTTCAAGTTTTGCGAACTCAAACCATCCAGGTGGTGGCCAAGTGGTAAGGACTTGGGATTAAGGGGTTTGCTCCTTCTGTGGTCTCAGGTTCGAGTTCTTGGTTGCTCATATGATAGTCACTGAAGGCTTACATGGTCATTAACTTCAGGGCCCGTGGAATTAATCGTGGTGCGCGCAAGCTGGCCCGAACACCTACGTTAATCTAAAAAAAAAAAAAGTTTTGTGGACTCACTTTTTCTCGGTCAATATATTTTATTATTTGTCCATATAAAATTTTTTAAAATTAAATAGAACAGCCTAGTGTGTACATTATTATTACACAGCAAAAAGCAGAATCCCATGAAGATTGGCAGTGTAGTATAATTTGTATTCCATTTACAGACACCCTTTACAAAACCCACCTTTATATTTATTTATTTTATTATCATCATTTCATTTTCTCATTCCACTCATACACACCACTCTTCACACATGATTATTTAGTTTTTTTTTTTATTGTCTAAGCACATAATTCTACTGTTAAGTCTTTCTAATTAACACTAGTGAAGAAAACCCACATTGGGTTCTTTTCTTTTCTTTCCATCTTAAGAAGAAGCCAAAAAAAAAAAAAAGGGAGCAATTGATCTGAGTGTTGAGAGAAAGAAACCCGATGTCTCCTTCAAATAGTAATATTGGTATTGCTACTTGTTGATCAAATTCCTACAAGACGGAAATGACATGGATGGAATAAATAAAAAATTATTATTTTTTATTAATAAAAAAAAGATTATTTTATAATATTTTAATCTTTATAATCTTAATTGATTTTAGAATAAATAAGAGAATTAGTCATGTATAAAAAAACATATCAGAGAATATTCTATCTAATATAATCTATATTGTTTATTTATTTAATATAAATTAAGGTATTATTATGTTGTTTAACTATTAATTTATCTAAGATTTAATAAAAGTTTTTCTCCATAAAAAAATCTCTATCTTATCAGTTAAAACCTAACCATTTTAATATCAATTTATAAAAATAAAAAAAAATATCTTTTTTATTTAAGATAAAGAATAAGATTACATATAAATTTATAATCTATATTAAAGAAAAACAAAATAAAATTTTTAATGTTTTTGAAATTTATGTTAAATTCTTATAAATTTAATAAACTAATTATTAAATTTAAAAATATATGTAAGAATATCAACGAAAATATTTTTTTTTCTTTTTAAAACAAGCATATTTAATAATGGTTCAACAAGATAAAAATACCAGTAGCCCTTTACAACTGCATGTCTGCACTTTGTTCAAGAAGATAAAAATACCGTTGAGTAAATTATTCTTCGGTCCCTATTTTTTAAATCATGTTAAAATTTAGTACTTTTTTAAAGAGTTAAATGTTAGTCCCTTTGCTGATCGTTTTCCTTTCAAGACATCTTAGTTTTTCTCCGAAAGACTGTCAAATGGCAAAAAAAACAACATACGGTTTAATAAAACAACTGTCAAGGAGAGTAAAGGGACTAAGTTACTGGTTTTCAACATTTACAGACTAACTTGTAAATGCATTAAAAAACTAGGGACTAATAGAGAATTTACTCAAAGATCGTTGCTTGTTATGTCCGTGATTGTCTGGGTTTTTCTGATGCCAGTTTTGGTGTTCTAATGACCAAACAATATCAACTATCGTGAAAATATAAAAGGCAAATTACACCAAAAATATGCATTAAAAAGGGAATATGTAAACCTGGAGGGTAATTTAGATTGTGATGAAATTAGACAATAATAAAGAGACGGTAAAAATTTCTCCAGCCATGTCAAAGCAGGCCATGTTAGATTCGCAGTGTGCTTCAAAATCGATCGAGAAAGAAAACAACCTGACATTGTAAAGGAAACAAAATCCAGAACCTAATCCATTGCACAGTTCTGAAATCTGAAACCTGGTCCAGGCAATAGATCATCTCCATAGATACAACTCTAAATCAGCATTGTCTACAAGCAAGGAAGTTTTACCACAATCACAATGCCTTTGACAACATTCAGAACATACAACTACTTCACTTGCTGATTATGTTTTTCGCCCCATAGCTGGCCGTGCATAATAATTGAAGTGATAAAATCTTTCATTCAATTAAGATCTAAAAATTGCTCAAAAAATTCAGCATGTTACGTTTGATACTAACTAGTCGAGGATCTAAGATGGTTTATCTGTCTGCAATATAACATTACAAATAGTTCGAAATGGATGAGGTTAAGGGCTGTTCCAGAGACCAAAATTCAGGTTCAGAAAATTTAAAAAGCCTTGAATACTACAAGCTCAACCTCTTACTAGTACTCTACTTCTATGGCCAACTCTCTCTCCCTCCCTCCCTCCCTCTCAAGACTCGATTGCAGTCCAACTACAAATTTCCTTCTCGCCTACATGGAATGAGAGATTTCACCACCTATTATTTGGTGGCTTGACCTTGTAGATACGAACAATCCAATTAGAAGTCGTGAATGCCTCTTCCAAGTGTTCAAGTTTAATGTCCTTATTTCCAATTTCAACCCCCCTTGCTCGATCATACCTACCACAACAGAGAGCAATTACAAAATGTAACAAAAATGATGTGTGCTAAAGCCCCCAGCATGATCAATTTCAAAAGAATGCGAGTCTAAGCAGAGTAATCACCAGGCAGTACCTTCCAGAAATACCCATTGCCACCCAACAAGTGCAAATGCTAAACAACTTGCGAAAGAAAAGACAAGAAATGTTTTAACTTACCCTGGAGGTTTCCCATATTCTGTTACCAGCTCTCCAAATCGATAGTAGGATAGCTTGTACCTATTCACCGACAATCAATAAACAATATATAACTTCTCTAAACTACAAAAATTGCACCAAACTGGGTAACACATGATTAATATATGATCTTCAATTCATTGAAGTTATACTTTCTCAATGTTGGAATGCCAAAAATTTCCTTGAGGAAAATTATTGTTCTTTAGTTTCACTATAATGTCAAAGGTCAAAATATCAGATCAACTATAACAAAGACCCTTGCTTATGGGAATCGGGCCTGTGAAAAACTAGGAAATTTCCTTGATAAAGTAGTGCAATAAAATAATCAAGAAAGGCATAGGAATAGCCAAAGACATTGGAAATGACTAGGGCATGTGATTTTAGAGGAAGAGGAAAACTTACGTGACTTTGAAAAACGAAAGATTCAAAACCAAAATATTGGCAAGTAATTTTTATCAAATATTATAGAATCCAAGCTCACAGAGAAAGCAAAAGTGCAGAACAAAGAAGTATAGGAAGCAATAAGAGAAACAAATGTACACCTCATCTGTAGGACACACACATCTTTCATTAGAAGGCAAGTTCTCACACAGAAAAGAAAGGCTGTTTTGGCACTACTATTGAGATTAGTTCGCCTGACAGCCCATATGTAACTATAGCATTTGCATGAGAAAGATATCTAGATAAACTTATATGATCGTAAATCTTTAAGATTTTGATGTGGGTACGCGATGCTCAAATCTGATTCTTTGTCCTATCTTAAATGATGGATGCAATGCCCTCAAACAGAGGAAAGGAACCCTCAAACTCCTCACACCCTCACTCTACAAGATATCTGACAATTTTTGCAGTCTCTCTAGGCAGAACTTCCAACGAACCATGTTTCAGGTTATATTATCAAAAATAAAAAATTAAAAAAATAACAAATACTAAAGATAAAACAAGATCGATTGTGGAGTTCACATCGTTCTCATCTTGCAATTTTCTTTAAGATGAAAATGACTAAGATGCATAAACTTACATGAGACAGTTCAACATCTTGGGAGCTGCACCCTTATCAACACGATATTCCCCATTGACAAGATAGTCAGGTTCCTTAATTACAGGGAATACTCCACCTCCAATTCTCACCATCCACAAAAACCTAGTGCAAATGAATAGCTTTATTAGACACACGAAAATTACATTACCCACAAACATTGAGAAGATTGGTGTTCTCAAAGAGAAGCTCATAAGCCATAAATGAGAATAGCTAAGGAGGATCATATTTGAAAGCTTTAGTGATTTGTCCAACAAAAGAAATGTTACATATACTCTACGGTTTTAAAGGGGAAACAAATGAATTTAGGATGGCATAAAACCACTTCTCCAGTCTTCAACAACTGAATGGCATCAACATCTGAATTTAAGATTACATTAAACCACTACAGCACTCCCTGATGGGCAGGCAATGTCAATGGCATATATGCTAAACTATTCAAACTCAAATTATTTAGAAGAAAGCAAACTATAGACTGTTAACTGATTTGGGATCTTATAAAATGCAGATCACGTTCAATAAAAAACATAAAGTAGAGCCTTACTTGTTGATATCATCAGAAGAATACCCTGTAACACCACCAAAGACGACTAGTACATAATCCACATCAAGTGATCTCATTATCTCATATGCCTCATCTTCATAAGATGACATTGCACGGCCAACAGTAGCAATGTGAGTATTGTTCCAGGTATTATTGTCAACAATAACTGTTCTGTTCCCCATGGCAGTGATTTGATACCCATAATCCCACCATGACATCACCTTAGCATCTGGAGGAGTATTCTGTCGAAGCCAATAGTATGCCTCACGGTAATCATCAAAGATGACCCTGTTACCATGGGCACCCCTTGCAGCCAAGACAATTGAGGGAGATGAGTAGGCCTCTGAGGTCACCCAGGTACAATGTATAGCATACCTACTGAGCAAGTAAAATGCACCGAAAAGCAATGCGATAGCACCATTTCTTTGAAAAGGCTGGGACTGATCAGGCAAAGCCTGCTTGCACATCAAATACAACTAGCATTATTTAATAGCAACAACCAGAATGAAGCAAAGGGAAAACTTGCTCCAATGCAATAGCACTTGATAGGAGTATTATTCAAAAGTTGTACAAGTCCAGACGTACTAGAAGGAGTGATGACCAGACACCAAATAATAGCAGCATTACTGAAATTAGAGCTTCATAATTTATTCAATGTTGTGAAGCAGCTCAACAAAAACTACTTTCTTACCTATTCCATGTAAAGGAGTAGACAAGAACATTGAAATTATTGAATAAATACAACTCCAAACTCTTAACTATACAGTAATTAATATCATCAAAACTACAAAGAGATAAGAACAGCAATGTGAGCCAATAGTTTCCTTAGAAAACATCATTAACAAAAAAAATCTTTCAGACTAAATGGATGAGTTGTCTTAAGATCAGTAGCAGGTCTTAGCATGAGTAAAACACATCCTTTTCAGACTCTTAAAGCAGAGTTTAGCATGGCTGAATAATAATGAAAGGTGTGCCAAAACTAACTTTAAACATTATCCCACAAGTGAAGCAGCATAGAAATGTTACTTAGATCAGCTGGTTTTCTAAAATATATAACAAGCTTATTGGAACCTTGATTTCGTTCACCATCTTTAGGGAAGTTGACACAAACCAAGAGAATAGAGAGATTCATTTCAGCCACAATACTACCAGTTGTCTTCATAAATAGTCAAAAGAATGGAGAAGGAACAGTCCAAATCAAGTGTAAGGAACTCACCTTAGAAGAACCCTTCCCACCGCTTGTTCCTTTAGTAGAACCAGTCTGGGAAACCTTGCTCTTAGTCCTTAACAGTGTAGTCAAATTCTTTATTGTGGCAGAAACAGCAATGGCACTAATGAGGCATACCGCAGGTGTAGCAACAAGAATTAACCGCACCATAACACCAGCAAAATACATGCTTGTAAGACCATACATAACTATGAATATTGTGGCATCTGACAGCCGCTTGAAGCAGAAATACAGACCAGCAGGGAAAAGGAAAAGCAGGATATGGAAATCAAACATGAAAGATGACCAAGCTGTTGGCTGATGCTCAGAAACAGATGCAATGATGGGAATGTGATCCTTAGCATAAGTTGGATCCAACAGAGAGTAAAATCTGCCAGTCCATGGTGAAATATACCCAGATGCTGTGCCAACTCCCAGAGCAATAGCACCTACACCTACTGCACATGTCACAGTGATCCTCAAAAAGGCTTCAAACTTCTTTTTGTCACTTAGCAGGTGCTTAACCCAACCTAAGAAGTAAAACACCTGTACAAACAGTTCAGGGTCAGTGCATATCCAAAGAAAATAAGCATTTTCTACTCTGACTAAAATAGATATAACTTGTAATGGTGGTATAAACTATCTTAATATCATTCGCAGTTATAGGCATGTAAGAATATAGATGAAGACTCATAAAGTATTGAACTTTAGCAGTTTTTGTGAGTATTTGGAAAAATCAAGTAAAGGGACCTGATAGAGAGACTAAAGCAACACAAATGACATGTTTAAAATGTGATGATTTCAAAACAAACAACATATTCAGATTTCAAAAGTTTAACAATGGTACAAAACGTCATTTTTTAACTTAAGAAAGACAACAGCGGTATCAATTCAAGGTCTGTCAATTCGTAATACTGCATTTAAGAAAACTTCTGTTACTTCGCCTCAAACTTGTCCATAAGAAACCAAACATAAGACAAGCAATTCAAGCAAACTACACAATTCAATTTCAAATCCATTACAGCAAGTAATAAGTAAAAGAAGAGATTAAACATCAAACCTGCAACAGGAAGAACACGCCCATAGCTGCCATGTGCTCCCCAGATTGCACATGTTGAAACCCAACAAACCGAATCTGCATTGCAAGCAACATTCCCAACACATACATGGAATTATAGGCAACATACAACCTCATCGAATACCTCCCAGTAATCAACAACACCAACACATAGAGTGGAACCAAATTAATAATAAAAACATAACCTCCCCAAGCCGAAACCATATAAAAATACCCAAAAGCCGACGCCAATCCCCACGCTAAAGACCCCGTATTCACTGCCTTGACAAACAAATAAAAAGTCAACAACAATGCGAAAATCGCAACCCCCTCATTATCATAAGACCCTGCAACAGATCGCGATATATAACCAGGACAAATCGCAATCAATACAGCAGCAACCAACCCAGCACCAGTATCCCATATCTCTTTACCGAAAAAATACGCAACAAGTGCAGTATTCGACGCGAAAAATGGTGCCGTTAACACACAAACTTCACGAATATGAACAGCGAAACGTAAGAATCGGAGACCCCAGTACATAATGGCTGCAGTAACCATTAATCCAGGATAAAGGGTTCCTCCAATGATACGTCCAAGAGGGTACCAACTCTCGGAATCAAACCAATTCCAAAATTCATAAAAACCTTTCTGAGTTAAGAAAAGGGTAGTTCGATAATTAAAATATGGATCGAATTCATGGATCATGGACTCATAACGTAAGACACTAAACAAACGAGTAATGAAAGCTAAAACATAGACCAAACAGAGGATTGAAACACGGATCAGAAGCTCTTGTTGTTTGGTTTTGAGTTTGAATGATTTGAGTGAAAGAGTTGACATCAGATCTGATTTCACAGACACTGATGATGACGATGATTTGTTCGTTATGGGTTCTGTTTTGGTGACTTCCATTGTTTGGTCTTTTTTGAGAGAAATTGAAGTGTGTTTTTGCGACTTTTATGGTTTTAGCATTTTCAAGGTTTCATGCTGATGGAGAGAGAGGACAGAGTGGAGCTTGAGCTTTGGAGTTTCAAGGAGACGTGATGTCAGATATGGACTTGTGAAGGGGTTTTTTTTTTTTTTTTTCTCGGGTTAAAGCCCTAATCCGTAGAGAGAGTGATTAAAGGAGAGGTTAATTAAGGTTTTAAGAGGATTAGAGATGGGATGGATGACTTGTCAATTTGTGATAGGATATACTTTGATCAATCAAAAGGGCAGAAAGATCAAGATTCAAGATTCAAGATTCAAGACTAGTCTTTAGTTGGGAATTTGGCATCTTATTGGCTAGAAATTGGAATAGGATTAAAAAAGAAAAATAAATAAATTATTAAAGGGTTAGTGAGTGGATGGCCTTGTATTTAGAAAAAACCCATAACTAGCTTTTCATAGTTGAGATGGAAAAGAAAATATAAAATTATACCTTAGTCCCTATATTTATGAAGAACAAACAAACTAGTCCTATTGGTTTTGAAGACTATATAGTAATCGCTTAACTCATATTTTAGTTTATTAAACATATCCTTCCTTCAATTGTTATTGAAGCCCAAAATAATAAGACCCTTTTATTTGAAAAATAAAATATTATTTTTACATGTAATTCTTGGTATTTTATAGGACTAATAACTTAATATGCCCTTATATAATAAAATAATTCTTTAATCCATCATCATATAATAAGAAAATTATCACCCTAATTTCAAAATTTTGTTTTTGCAATGAGCATGTAAGTAAAGAATTGGAGCCTATAATATATGCAAATTAATAGTTTCAACTTTTATCATATGTGTGCATGTAAAACTAATGCAAGGAACTAATAAATTTTCAAGATTAGCCTGTTTCATTGTAAATTTTCTAAAGAAATTGATTTAGTTAAACGTTTATTCTTGAAAAACTACAACTTTTGCTTGAAGAAACACTCCTGAGATCATGGCCATCCAGCCCAGGTTAATTACTGAGAGAATTCTTCGTGCTAAGAGTTGGATATGAGAGAATCTTAATTTAATCTATAAATTTTAGGGTTGTTAAAGATTTATATAGTTTTTAATTTTAAAATTTATAAAATTAATCAAAGCATAGATAAGTTGATCTAGACAGGTATATTAATAAAAAAAAGAAAAGTAAATGAGACAATCTTCTTAAAATTAAGGTGGTATTAGATTTATTGATGATTGTCCCAAAGGCATTGTGTAAATAAAACCATGATATAAAAAGAGCTGAAGTGTACAACAAGCTCGGAACTGGAGATTGAAGAAAATTAACTCAGTCTTCATTGTTGGATTCTTGACATAAAAACAGGTCGAATAATTTGATCTAATAAGTGATGATCCCTGCTAGGGCCATGAATCTTGACATGTCTGGATTTTCTTAAAAATATCCTGTTTTCTTCTAAAGTACTTACTCTGGATTTAGTGATAGATTCTGGGTGCATGAATACAAGAAGAGTGAACATGATATGATCGATACGAGACGATGAACTGAATTCGACAAACAATGGATTGATGATCCCGGATTAGATTTCGAAGTACTCCATGAAATTGGAAAGTACTATTGTAAGTTTTTATTATTCTCTCACAAAGAACGTGAAAGCAACCAAGAAAAGAAAAGAAAAAACCTCTCTAAACATAAAGATTTGCTAGATTAATGTCACTAGTTATATTACACGTTGGATCAATTTTTTTATATATATAAAAAAAAATATTTCAATATTGCTATCATTTTTTTTTTAATATGCCAAGAAAAAGCCTAAATACATGGATGGAGCTTTAAGCTTAGGCTCACACATTTGAATTTAAATTTATTTTTTATATTTTAAAAGATAGTTATCTTTTTTTTAAAAGAAAAGAAAAAATAAATATGTAGTGACGTGTCATCTACGAGCCTAGATTCTGATCACCTAGCGGCGCTTGAAAAATCAAGACAAGCCTCTTTTATTTAAAAAACTCAATTTTTAAATTATTTTCAATGTAAAAATACATTATAAATACCATCAGAACACTTATAAATCAATATATTAACTTAAAAAACACCAAATCAAACCCGGGTTAAATTTATCTTTCTCGGATTAGATCTATTTTTTCAATCAATATTGATATTTTAAATAATCACCATCAAACCTTTTTTATCTCATAAAGCTTATGGATACCAAAAAATAATTTATTTTAATGGTTAAAAATGGTTTGAGCAATAATCTTCTCCCTTGTCGTTGAATTTCAACAACCCCTCTCTTTTTTTATATTTCTAATTAGAAATTAAAAAATATTATAAAACTTTTTTATACCAAAACTAATTTTTGAAGAGATCTTAATTTTCTAATTTATGTTATTTTTAAAATTTATGCACCTAAATGTATTTTTAACACGCCTCTCATATTTAATGTCCTTTTCTTTTTCATCAATCTACTTTCAATCCCCCTTACCCAACAAGAAATGAAAGGCAATTTTTTTTAATAGATTTATACTGCATTTAATATTTCCCTACGGCTATAATCGTGCTTTTTATTTCGAGGGTTTTTGGGAATTAACTAGCTTAGTTGTCTGCTATCCGTCATGTCAATTTCGCATGAGCTTCTTTCACATCAAATTCATGCATTAGAAGTTGAAAACATTAATAAAGCAATGGTTTTATTTGTCAAGGCAGTATTAAATGAGTTTCTTCATAAGTTCTAAATCAATCATTCTAATTGGTTAAATCTGGGTCCAAAACTCTATGCTAGCCTTTGTAAGCAAAACGATGCCAAGGGATAAACAAAGACGCGAGCAGAAAAAGCCAGGTCAACCAATAACAGGCAAAACTTTTGCAGATTTCTATGGGAGAGGGAAATGAATGCACATAAACTTCAATTATAGAAGTAATAACATACACTTATATTTATCAAAGGTTGGAACAAAAATCTTCCTTTATTCATTATAAACCTGCGTGGGTTTGGCTGAGAGAAAGAAGGAAACTATCAAGATTTTTCCATTTTTGGTTGCACCGGATTATCAAGAATTTAATTAGAGCATTTACTTCTTTAAAAGGAGACAACAAACTTAACTTGTCCAAATTAATTTGCGAGACCCCTCTGCTTAAAAACATCAAGCATTGCAACACCAATTTTTGCAGGGGACTCTACAACAGTAACTCCAGCTTCCCTGAGGGTCTTGATTTTGTCTTGCGCAGTCCCTTTTCCACCTGAGACAATAGCTGCACAAAAAGAGACCAAACATAAAGATGTTTTAACACCTTGAAGACATTTCAGGGATTCCTATATCGCTCTCAAGGATTGTTAAATTCTACAGCAACATGACCACATATAGTGAGGGTAGTCAATACAAGGACACATGGGTACGAAACTCATAGAAAAACAATCTAGAAATATTCTCAAGCTACTAAACCATAGCAGCATACAGCCGGGAAGCCCGTGATTTCAGAAGCACAATGTTGAGCTCATGCACCATACTGGAAATTTAACTCGTTCAAAATACAATAGTAATAATCAAGAGGTGTAGGGTTGACTTGTGACTTCGCGCTCACAAGTCATGTAGGGCAGTCCCAGAAACTTGAAAACTTACAGTGAATAATCGCCTTGGGTTCTAGGGTTGATGCGGATGACACTGGGGATACATTTCCTCCCAGAAGGTATGGGGACAAAAACATGCTTGACTAGTAGATTCAAGGCTGATTTCTGATGTAACCATATTATTCGATTGTTTCACCCACATTTACCTAATGTTTTGTCCATGTTTTATATGTAAAATGCCTTGATATTCTTTGTTTTATGTTTTGAAGGCACTTTTGGATGGAAAATGCAAAAAGGAGTAAATTGGAGATAATTGGCAGATTTGATGTTCAGTCGATGTTTTGTGCAGAGCGTGATTTCTAGAGATCAAAATGAAGTGATTCCAGTGGCTCTAAAAAGCTAACATCCATACCTTTCTGGAAATATAATGCAAGAAAAATACAAAGAGGAAGATCATGGAAATCACATCCTTCAAAGTCAAATCTCGTATTCTGCCACTGTTGACCTTTGTCCATTCAAAATTCCATATCTGGAGCTATAGAAGTCCAATTGATGCAAACTCAATTTTGTTGGATTCCTGACTCAAAAGTCTAGAAACGCTCCAATTTTCAGCCAAAAACGATGTCAGATGAGGGCGATATGATTTTTCAAAGATGACAACTGAATTCTGCCAGCAATCAGGTTTCGTGAAGAAATGAGTCCAAATTATGTTTCGAAGCTTCTAAACTATCATCCAAGTTATAATTTCAGCAATTTAGCCCCTCTGGTAAATCAATCTAGAAGGTCAAGAAAAGTAGCCACCAACCTCAATCCACCAACCTCAAATCACCAACCACAAACCAGCTGCAAGTTGGAATGCTGCCATTGTCAAAGAAGGAGGCTACAATGGTGGGTTGTTTGTGGTGACTACTAATGTCAAAGTTTGGCAAGTTTGGCAGCCACCATTGTTGATAAAGAAGCAAGAGGAGCTGCCATTGAAGCCTATATATAGACATCAAGAGAGCCAAGAAAGAAGAGGAGGGAGTGCAATAGAATCAAAGAAAAGTGGTAGCAACTAGAAGTGAAGAAACACAAACTCTCCTCTCTACATACTAGAAATAATGCTTTCTTTTATCTTTAGGAGTAGTTGTTCAATAGATATGCAAGGCTAAGCTCTTTTCTTGGTTGCAAAGACGCAGAAACTTTCAGATTTCAAGAACTGTGAGATTTGTTCTTTATTTATTTTCAGTTTGTATTATGAATGAGTATGATTGTTTTCCTATGCATGTTTTCTATGATTGTTGTTGATAATTGCTAGAGCGGACTCTAAGTTATTATTGTGAACAATCTATTGCTAAGTTTGATATCAGAACCGGAGTTAGGGTATATAAACTTGTGAAGCAACTAAGCTTGATAATTGTGGCGGAACTACGTTATTAAACTTAGGGAAAACATTCGATCAAAGCAACACAAGCAGACAACTTGGTTGTTAAGATTAATGAATTTATCTAGATCTTAAGGCTGCCATTAGATTAAATCATTAGTGCGGACACTGTGATTATTTGTTGGTTAGGGCTAGTTATACGGCGGATCCGTTAATTAACCAAAGTTAAGAAAAGATAAAAATTCAGAATATAAACTGGAGTTTCGTTTTAAGGATCAGTTCTGATTTCTGTAGGTGGATGTGTGCTTGTGACCAAGGTTTGTTTTCTTGATAAATTTCAGTTTTAATTGATCGTGTTCACTAGTTTAATTTCTTCCATATTTTAGATTATCACAAATCAAAACCCCCCAATTGCATAACGTATAGCATAAAAATCTGAACTAAATCTTCCTCGTGGGATCGATCCCTTGCTTGCTCTATACTATCTTGTGTGATTTAAGTGTAAGGGTAATTAATTTGTGCGACCGCGACATCGCAACAATTTCAGACCACCTTCACCGAAACAAAGGCTTGATACTATAAAGATAATTAACATGCAGAGTATTTCTGAGTTACTTGAAAGTCATCTGTGCAAGCACCCTCCACCCCAAAGCCAAAATCCTGATTTCCTTCTATCGATATAGTTGCCAATGCCACTTTTCATTCACCCCACACTCAATTTGGAAGTGTTTATGCAGAGAATCTGTATTTCTAATTTGATTCCACACACAAGTAAACACTTAACATTCCACTCAGCACTCAGCCACCCTCCTCCACCAAAATTTCTTTCATTTAAAATTTACACGGTCCTTCCATCCCCAGCAAGATGAGCCATTTATCTTGGATATTTTAGGCTGCCCTGCTCCTACTTCAATCTATATGAGTGAGCATATCCACATGCATGCACACACACACACACACACAAAAAAAAGAGCATAGAATTACAAAAAGTGCACAACCAAAAACAATATACCTCCAGCATGTCCCATACGGCGGCCTGGTGGTGCAGTTAGTCCAGCAATGAAGGCCACAACAGGCTTCTCAGTTCCACTTTCCTGTTAGAATGGATTCATTTGATCACATATAGACAGACAACAAAGAAATGCTCCAGCAATGAGAACAATAATGCAGCAAGAATCTCATGAGAAACAAGAGACAAAGAAATAACATCTTAATACCCTAAAATTTTTAATCAAACGCTGACTTATCCAATATCCTCAAAAAAAAATTTTTCAGATAATGAAGCAAACCTCCCATGAGGTTTTGTGAAATTATAGCTGCCAAAAACTTCAAAGAGACAACACAAGCACATTTGAACAGAAACTGAATTGTTAACTATTGTAACCTTTTTAAAGATTACTTACATAAATTACCAGCACTCTCTAAAACACATTATCAACAACCCAAATGAAATAAAAGATACAAATGAAATCAAACTAAAAAGAAACAAGTGACAATCAAATCATCAAACAAAGAAAGAGGACTGAAACAATATCCTGGCCATTAGATTTGTTCTACCTCAGTTCTTTCAAAACGAAACAACACTATGAGATTTGTCTCTCCTCCCCCTTAACAGAACTGAGGTTTTGCTGTAGTAAAAATAATAATAATAAAAAAAATTCTTTAAAGAAGAACGGCAGCCATTAAATTACAGACCAGAAGACTGAAGTCTAAGCACCCATAAGAATCTGAGTTTAGAGCATCCACCAAAAGTGCATAAATGACAATAGACATACTGAGAATAGTAAATCTGAAAGCTTATTTATATATTAAATTTAAGTCAGCCACATAGAAGAACTCATAGCATTTCATGCCCCCAGTAGATCCCATATTCACACCAATACTTAAAAAAAATTTCCTACCCATAATTTACCAGGATTTACTATAAACCAATTATGAAATTGACTATATTACCTTTATTAATGCAGCAGCATCCTCTTCTGCAGTTCCACCTATCTCCCCTATAAGAATGATACCTGAAATGCATAATGCAATTATAGTTCACATGTGTATCCTGTTTGTCAAATATCTACTGCAATTCTTTCAGGAACATCTATTGATATCAACAGAAATAAAGGAAAAACAGAGCAAAACAATGAAGAAAATAAAAAGAAGTGAAGAAAATATTTATTAACCACCCCCATCCAAAAAAAAGTCTAGATTAAGTAAAATGAAAGGTCGTTTTGGAGAAACTCATTTATCAATGATGAGATAACCCAATCTTCTAAGAAAACAAAAGGCAAAATACAGCTACCATATAATTTTATCCTAATACTCTATGTAAGAATTTGAAGCCACAAACACTGACAACATGGACAATTCCAGGTATCCATGTGGTGCATCAGCAAGGTTAACCAACGACTAAATTGTTACGCATCCAGACCATGTGCTTCAGGTCTCTCTGCACACAAAAAGCTCCTAGACATGGGTAATGAGAAAAAGCTTCACAGAAAGAGGGGAGATAGAGAAAATGCATACTGAGATGGATGCATGTATCTTCAGCTCTGAAAGAACTAAGTCTAAACCATCAATAGTAAAGCATAATCAATGACAAAGTTGATATGAACATTGAACATACATGAGTTTGTGTATGTTTCTTTACGTGTGAAAATTCCTAGCAACAAATAATTAAAACAAGCACGTAAATATTTCTGAGAGCAATTTACCTTCTGTTTGAGGATCTACAAGAAACTTCTCTATGCAATCAACAAAGTTTGTTCCATTGAATGGATCTCCTCCTATACCAACACAAGTGGACTGTCCAAGGCCAACAGCAGTTGTTTGGAAAACCTGAAAAGTAAAAAAAAATAAAAATATTGCACCCATAAGGCTGAAAACAAATAAATTAAGATGTAAAAAAAAAAACAAAAAAAAACCCTCCTGCTAAAGTCACAAAACACTCAAAGATATCTATTAAAGCATGAAGCAGATGGACATATGAAACTCTACTTTTCCTTGCATATTCAAGGAAGCAATTTGTGTATTTCAAAGCTTACCTGGGGACAGAGAGAGAGAGAGAGACCTTTTTTAACAGTAAAATTAGGCCTTGCTCTTCAAACAATCAATTCAATAGCATCTTATCAACACATTATCAGCAGATCAAATTAGGCCTTACCGCTTCATAGGTCAAAGTTCCAGATCGAGAAACTATTCCAATACGACCAGGTTTATGGATGTAGCCAGGCATTATACCTATTTTACATTCTCCCGGTTTAATAATTCCAGGACAGTTTGGCCCAATCAACCGAGTTTTAGTTTGCCTGTTCAGAGCAGCCTTCACACGAACCTGAAATTAATAAACATCATCTCAAAATCACTTTCAGAAGAACAAAGAAAAAACAAAGCAAACATAATAACCGAACCAGCCAGTAATCAACTACATGTCGATCGGAACTCCAACCACAAGGCAGTATATTTACCAAAATTTAATTCATCAGGAAACCATTAATAAAACTAACAATACCAAAATATCAAATTTCCAAATGACAAATAATATCATACCACTGAACATAATGCAATTCCACTTCCAATTTAATCAATTTTAAAAATAGACAACATTTAAAAAAAGAATAATAAATTTTACCATATCATGTTGAGGGATTCCTTCAGTAATGCACACAACAAGATTCAACTCAGCTTCCATTGCCTCCATAATCGCTGCGGCAGCAAATGGCGGGGGAACATAGATAACCGAAGCATTAGCCCTTGTTTCAGCCTTTGCTTCCGCCACTGTGTTGAAAACTGGAAGCCCTAAGTGTTCCGTCCCTCCCTTCTTCGGCGTCACACCTCCTACCTACTTCAGCGAACAATCAAACTAACCGCACTTTAAGAATCACACCCTAACAAATTTTGAATTTTTTTAGGAAACATAAAAATTAACAAAAATGAAATTTGTTATACCATTTTAGTGCCGTATTCGATGGCTTGTTCGGTGTGGAAAGTGCCGTTTTTTCCAGTGATGCCTTGGCAAATCACGCGAGTGTTTTTGTCGACGAAAACCGCCGGAGGTGGTGGTGGAGCCGCTGCATAATGGCGAGTCTGAGCCACCGGGGACGGCGAGAGGTTGATGAGAGAGGTGGCAGAGGAAGGCTTGCGTGATGCGATCGAGCCGAGTAGTTTCGCGACGGCTTGACGAGCCATCTAATTATTTTTCTCCTTGAAGAAAGAAGAGGCTTCGCTGACAGAAAGAAAGTTGGAAAGCAAATAAGAAAAGTTGGTCCCGATGCTCTTCTTTTATTTTATTTAGAATTATTTTATTTCTCTGTTAAAAAAGTAATTAAAAATATTATTTTAATATATTTTGAATTAAAAATATTTTTACCGCATGCATAAAATCCAATTACTTTTGATTATTATTTAAGATTAACCTCAAAGAATTTGCATAGTGATTAAAAGTTCCTGAGTTAAAATCTTAGGATTAATATTTATAAAAAATATTAAATTCTTTTAAATACATAGTAAAATTGATATGGAGACGCACTTTTAAAATTACTTAAAAAATACTTAATTTACATAGACCAGTTGGTATACGCAAACTACTTCAAAAATACCCTTATCGTTAAACCACACACAAAAAATAATTGTCTAGGATTTTATTCCATTTTAATAGTTAGTTCATGGTTAATTTAATGCAAATACGAGGTGTTTTTAGAGAGGTTTTAATTGTTTAATTTTAACTTTTTTTTTTCTTGCAAGCTTACATGAGATAGAATTCCTTGTTGTGTGTTTACATGAAAATATTTTGATATTTTGTAAGAATATTTATGTTCTTGCAAGCTTACATGGTTTGAATAGTAATGATGAGGACAAGCTTTATATATATATATATATATATATATATGGTTGATTCTCCCAATAACAAGATGTAAATGCAAATTATATTGATGGTTTTATAGTCCATACAACCTATGGATAATTTTTTTTTCCCTCTCTTTTTCTACTTTCTCATACTAAATTTGCTTTAGCATTTTATATTACAAAATGCTCTTGAGAAAAGAAAAGAAAATAACTATTTTTACTACACTTTTATAGCTCTCTTTCACCATCACCATCAATTTGATTTTTTTCCTCCTTCGTCACCAACACCATCAATATTCAAATTATATATACTTTTAAAATTATGATATCTAGAGCATTAATTTAGTGTAACAATATATTAATTTATACATATCTCAACTAATTTTATAAATATTAAAATTAATAATTATATAAATTATTTTTAATAATCTTAAAATTACCTTAAAATTTATAAAACTAACCCCCACAAATTCATAGAGCAGCTTTTTGGATAAAGAGCTCATGTCATGCGAGCTCACCTTTCTCAACATGGCAAAATGCTTTCAACCCTTTCAAATCCTCAAATTACCCTTTTCAAATGCCAGTTTCAGACTGCTTTTTGAAAAATTTTGAACTTTTTTTAACTTCAAATTTTTAATTTTTAGATTGATGTGAAAAATAAATTTAAAAAAATATTTTAATACTTCCCAAACAAAAAAAAAAACACTTGGGAAAAATAACCTTCAAACATGCACCTAATTTTCTGCAAGCTTACAGCATTAATGCAGCTAAATATTGCAAAAAAAAAATCCATTCCAAACTTCTGCCATTTCTTGAGATCACCATCTCCCATTACATCATATAATCAGATCACAATCTAATTCCTGATCAAACATAGCAAATTTGCGACAGTAAAATTTTGAAAGTAATTTCTCAAGGAGGTTAAGGATACTGCCGGAGCTCTACTATGCTGGAAAAATGAAACTATGTAAAAAAATTAATTTAATTTCCTATCAAAGCATCCGGTACAACTATTACACTCCCAATGCTGTTTGACGACTCTATTTAAAATGTTATTGTCACCCTATTCATTTACAATTTTGCAGACATCCTCCACGAGTTAAAAGGTAGATGATGGAGAAAATAGGTTAGAACACTGGTCAATTATTGTCAGCTCACGCTTTCCACAACCTGGCTAGATATCAAGATGATGTTTGAATATCACTTTCGCAGAACCTCCATGAACCATCATCTTGCCTTTTTAGAACATACAGGGTTTTATAGGTGCTGCAATACATCAGAGACACATGTATAAAACAGAAATTATCAGAACAATCCGCTTCTGGGTTCAGGTTTTGAATTAGAAACAATACTGATGGAACCACCTCGGAATCCAGATTCATTAACGACCAATTGTTGAGCTACATGCTCTTTACTATTATTTTTTTTGTTGTTATTTTTTTATGAGAATGTCAATTCATCAAAGTAAGCACTTCACAGCTGATGTGGGACAAGGTTTGATGAAACAAATAATATAGTAACAATAAAAAATCTGGATATACTGACCTGTAATAGTTTGGGTTTTTCTGGTGAGATTCATCAACAAGCTCTGCTGCTTCCTCAAGGAGAACTTCAATTTCAGCAATCTCCAGGCCATATCCATCTGAGAAAATCTCAGCTCGCAGAATGGACAGTTGCAGCAAAACAAATCTCCAATAACAAGACTGTGCTTTCGCTGCTTCAGCTAAATCTTGCCACTGTGAATAAAAAATGCAACAAAGCAAGCAATCACAACACTTTAAATCTTTAGAAAGGAACAGAATTTGATAATTTGTATTTGTTGTTAAAATGTATTTCCATTCATTCATGCACATAAAAATATAGAGGGGCTGTAAGAATGTCATTTGAACTAAGAAAAGTTATTAGTGGCCTAATTCATTAAATCCAAACTAGATTTTCCCAAACTCATCAATAAACTGTTTTGCAAATGATATCCCTAGAATCCTAAAAAAAGAAAAATTATATCCAAGAACAATGGCTAAATTTCATTAGTTTTCATTCTGCACTGAAATTAATGCTCAAACCAAATTTGAAATATGTGATTTGGACCACAAGAATGTAATAGAATATCCATATCACAATCCACCACAATAGTGTATAAGTTGATTAATTACTCTTACAGAACAAGTGAATTATATTTTCATGATTTAAATTGCCATTTATGATTGGGTAACTTACTGTAATCCGATGAACCAAAAAATTCATTGCATCTTCAAAGTCACTTGTTCAACTTTACAAGATCATTAGATTGGCAGCTCAATGGTCGAATATCTTATCACAACAAATATATTTTACCTGGGCAAGCATGGACTCGTCAAGGACTTCAGAGAGGCTGTGAACTTGGTACCAAGGACCTAGAGCTTCAGCTTTAATTGCCTGCCAATGATAAACAAGAGCTTCAGCTTCTTCCACAGGCATTTGCTTCCTAGATACAGTTTCCATAGAAGGTGATATACTGGCAGCAAGCCTTGAACTTTGCAATTTTTTAGTATCGAGCTGGTTTCCATACTGCATTTTAAGCAGGGACAACAGCTTTCTCATTCTTCCAGTGATACCACTTCCTCTAATATAAACAGGGTGAACATTGCGATCAAGAGAAGAATCTGTTTTCCAGGCAAGGGAACTTGTGCCAATACTAGTTCTATCAGATATCAGATTAGATGCAACTCTTATCCTTCTTAAACCCATGCCTGACATTTTAAAAGTAATAAACACAATGCACCCCAATACCGCAACAAAACTTATCTTTCTAACTACATCTGCGTGTTGTAACCAACTTTCCCAAGTTCTTCTATTGTGAGAACCAATCTCTCTCTTCAATTGAACTGATGGCTCATTACTGTTGCTTCCACTACCATTCTCGGTCAAGATCAATGAGCTTTGCAAATCAGTTGGAGACAACTGCTTTACAGCAGACCTGAAATGTTGGGAAGAGTTCATATATGGACGTGATTCCCCAGAATCCATTCGTTTCATAGCAATATCGGACAGTGGTCGATGGGACATAGTAGGAGTGGCTTGTGCAGGTACTCTACTTTTCTTGCTTCCAATAATTCTCTTTTCACCACCAAAAAAATTCACCTGTAGAAACATAAATTTGTAACAGAAGTTCCTGATAATGCTAGAGATTATCAGTCTTTTTATGGTTAATAGAGATGATTCTCACCAAAGAAGGAGAGCAGTCTCTAGTATCTGAAAAGACAAGAAGCACAGAATCCTTCAGCCATGTTTCCTGGCAAAGTTCAGCAGGCATTCTGACATGAGAAAGTATCAACACTTAAGAATCGTCTAGAGCATGAACTTAACAAATCATGTCACTTGCCCTGAAACCATGAAGGTGAAAGACCACAAAGGGAGTGAACATGCAAGAGAAATGTCTTCAATAGTGGGATTTTCTATAATGAAGATAAACATAAAAAGGATAACATGGCCCACTAATAGGGACTCTAATAAATAAACTTTGCTTGACACTGTACTCTCCCTGAATTTATTCATCAATACTCATTCTAGTTTGGAAATGACCGTTAGTGGAAGAAAAATCAAGCAGGATCTATTCAACAACATTGCGTGGATATTGAAAGTGAGCTTGCACGTATCTAGTTCAATCACAGTGAAAGAAACTTTTACTAGAACAATCAACTTCATGATGAAACATTAGCAACTAAATTGTACAGCATCCAAAATAAAAGTTTACGCTGCTGGAAGAGGCTCATTAACTCAGGAGCTGACATTAAGGTCCCTTCCTCACCCCATGTAACTTGTCCTCTAATACCCCCTCCTCCCATGCATAAGTGCAGCACGAACAGACTTAATCGGCCGCTACGCAGCCAAAATAACAAAAAGACAACAGGCATATATTGTAGAGGCTGAAGCACAACCAAAGTGTGTCTAATATGATATAAGAACATCCAACCTAAAAGCTTCAACATTGTTACATGGAGAGGGGCATTACATGAGGATACAATAAATCTCATATGTGCCCAATGTCAGGTCATTGAGAAATTTCCTGAATGTAAACAACATGAATATAATAAATTAGAAGATGGTGCTTATTTAAAAGAGCAGCATGTGGGGCAACAACAACAACAACAATAATAAAGCAGAACATAATAGGCAAGCTGTGATACCGTGTTAAAGCATATGCTATTGGGTTGGAGGTGCTCAATATCCCATATAGCACAGGAAGGCCATTGTGAATGAGGGACTCAAAAGCCCTCTTCTCCGCTCTATCATTGGGCAACCAGAGCATGAGCAAATATAGATGGTAAAAAATACCATACCATCTTAACATCCAATAAATTGATTTCAAATAAGTAAGGCCCATAGCAGTAAAAATATGACGACGCCTAATTCTATACTTTACTTGGAGTCTTCCTAACCCTGCTCTCCACTTGTTTTTTCAGATGCATGCATGTGGTGATGTTCAATTCACAAGACCAGAATAAAAAGGCATACCAATGATGGTTTTACACCAGAGACATCTTTTATCTCCTTTCCTGGGACTAAATTCTGTGCAGCAGGATTTGAATTTGATTGTAGCTGCTGAAGCTTTTCAACTGCCTGGTCTTGATTGCCCTGAAAATCAAAGATGAAAAGTTCCCAAAGAGTTAAAAAAAGAAGTGCCAGAGAGAAAGGCATTGGACTGGGGATCAAAAAAGGAGTATGGATATAAATTGACCAGTAAAAACCAGGATATGCAATCCAAACATGCTAATGGAACTGTATCTGAGAAAAAAGGGAGTTCAAAAATACACCTGTCCAAGCAGAAACAAGCAGAAAGCTTCTTCAAATTTTAGATCAATACTCTCTGATGCTATCAAACACTCACATATAGTTTTTGCTTTGTTGATCTAGCAAACAGCAGAAAAATCGAGATAAGCAAGACAGAACCCACCGCTGTTTGACCACAATAAATGGTGCAATTTAGTATTTATACCAATTCTGTTTGCTTGCTAGAAAAACCAAGAGCAATATGAGCTAAAAGCGCCACGTAACAACAATTGAAATCAATCACAACCCTTTGATTCTGTGACTCAAGTGATTTCTTATTCTTGCGAATGAGGACTAAATCATCCCAAGGAAGAAGATCAACTATTTCTGTAGCCATGAGTCTGTTAAGTGCTTGGCTCAGAAAACATGGCCAGTCTTGGACTCTGCATGATGTTTCCAAATCAAGGCCCTGCCTGAGCAATTCTCGCAAGGCTGCAATTGCTCCTCGTCTCCGTTCTGCATTTTCAGGAGAGTGAGGCGTGCCTAATAATTCCAATGTGCAAGCAGGTGCAAGCTCCTCCAGGGATTCTTCTATCTAAAAACAAAATGCAACAAGTTTACATCAGACAGTGTATGTGGAAACAAACAGAACATGAGTAATGTGGGAAATAAAAGTTGTGTCTGATGCACTTTGTGAAATTTCAAGCACCATCATGTGTTGTAACATGTCCTTCTAAAACTTCTATTCACGTGTAAATATTTACTTGCTCTGCTTCATGAAGAATGAGAAAATTCAGATTGACTTACTTGCAAGCACAATCTCAGGCACAAGCAATAGGAGGTACCATATTAAGCAGAAATGATAAAAAGAAATCATCATATAGATCCTTAAATGGCAGGGGGGGGGGGGGGGGAGAAGAGCCACTGAATCACAATTACCTGAGATAGTAATGCCATCTTGCCAAGTGAGATTTTACTCCTCAGAAGACACTGAGCACGAGCAAGAGCTTCAAATCCAAATGAAACTTTGTTCCTCTCAAAACCAATCTTTGCAATTGCACACTTCAAGAAAGGTGCATGATAAGAAAAGGGGGCATAACAAGCCTGCTACTACAAAATTACTCTAATTTGACCCCCTCATTGATTTCCTTACCTCGGCCAATGCCATGGATAGAAGCACATCATGAACATATGGCTTGGCATCTGGATGCTGGAGCGCTGCTTGGCCAATATCCAGCACCAACTTCTCTTCTCCAACCTGTATCAGAGAAATGAAGATCCCACAATGTTAGCTTAAGACCAAATCCTTCTGCTAGAAAATCTTCCAAATTCAACCACTGCCAACAAAAAGACACCAATCGTTCAATAACAAGATTGCTCAAAGGATGATAACATGCAGCAGAAAATGATGAAGAGAAACAAGTGCAACTATTAGTGAATGGAAAGTCCATGAAAAATGGCAATCTGTTCCCTGCTTGAAGACAACCCTCACATAAGAACTACAAGCTCATGGAATCCGGAATAATTACTAGAAAGGATTTAAGTAAGACATTACTGACTCATACCTCTTGAAGCAGGCAAAGAGCACCAGGCAACCAAGCCAACGGAATATGTAGAGAGGATTTAGGAGGGATCTTGTCCCTCACATTCCCAGCATATTCTGGTTCAAAAAGAAGCTTATCCCTTACATCCATTAGAAGATCCTGGGATCAAAACAGCATATAAGATAATACAAAATCCAGAATTGTCTTTCCATGTCATAACATTTTTTTGCAAAGTCAGAAAAACTACAAGTTTCAATCTTGAGTCTCCACCTGCCGAGACATAACAGCATCCATGGTATAACCCTCTTCTACTTCAGCATTTTTCAATTGCATCACTGACCTAACAATCTCATCTTTCTCAGCTTTATCAGGAACACCAACAAGCTGCAAAATTATTCAACTGCAGAACGTGAATAACTAAAAAAATAAACCAGGAACCAAATCAACTAGGTAAAAGCTGAAACAGGGCATTGAAGAAAATGCCCAATGAGAAGAGGGAAACACGCTCTAGACCCTAGAAATGGGGCTAAAAAAATCTATTATTGATATGCAAACGTAAAATTCTTGAATAAAAGTTGGGAAAATGGTGGGAAAATCAGGAAAATTTATCAAGATGGTAATTACACCGCATTCGATCAATATGGGTAGTAGCGAACATATGTTATTCTCTGTACTTATCAGCACAACAGGTGTACAAGTATCTTGACCAAATATCCATCTAGCAAAAAGCAAGAACCTCCACTCCAAAACACACAAATAAACATCTAAAATGCCAGCTTTATAATTTACTCGAAAAATTAATTCTAAAACATCTCTTGTACCCATGTTCACAAGCATTGCTATACATCTTTTCTACTAAGAAAAAGAAGGCAGAAATACTTCAAAGACGTACATTATTTGCACCACTAAGCAGACAGCGCCAACTTTCCTGCTTGATATATACACACCAAAACAAACGCTACAGAGAAAGACTGAAATCAACTAACTTAATACGCCGTCTTCTTTCTCATTTCTGTTATTTTCAAGATCTAAGAGCTCACTAAACCCAAAATTTAATACCGTGTCGTTCTCTGATTAGCAAGTCAATAAATTGATTAATATAGCTTCAGCTAATTTAATATTGGATTGTTATTGAGACCATGATTTCCCAGCTATTTTCAATATCTAGTGTATGAAATATCTGCTATATATAAAGAGAGAGTGTTAGTATGTTTATGTAACCTGATAACAAGTGACGGGGATTTCAACAGTGGCGGTGGATGTGGCCTTCTTCGTAGCGGCGACATTGTGAAGGATGCGAGTATCAGCAGTGGCATTGAAAATCAACTTGTTGCTAGATTCAAAATCAGGCTTCCTCAAAACCCTAGAAACAGAAATTGTTTTCTTAACAAAACCTAAACAAAGAAGAGAGCAATCACTTTTCTGGTTAAAACGACAATAACAGCAGCGACACGAAGAAGATGAAAGAATGGTCGGCGTCAGATTCAAATTCGACACTGCCATTTTTCTTTTTCTTTTTTGTTAAATCATGAAAAAAGGCTTGAGATGATGATAAAAATGCTTGAAATGTGAGGGTTTTTTAAGTTATTTACTTATTTATTGAAGGGGTGGAGAGATTATGGACTTCGATTTTTGTCAATTTCAAAAATAAAAAATAATTTGCTCGATAAAATTAGAGAGAGAGATTTGTTTTTCTTTCTTTAAGGGGGTGATCTAGAGAACCGTTGCTTTTGTTAAAGTATTTGAGGAGGACTTGTATGAATTACGATTACAGTAGTGGTAGTGATAGAAAGTATAGAAAAAGTTAGGAGAGGTTTTAATCATGAAAATTAGCTATATAATGCGACGTCGTTGTTTTGACTTTTAAGACCCGTATGCTCGTACCATAGATGTAAAAGTGGACTAAATTCGGTGGGTTTAATTAAAATTTTAAAATTTAATCCCTGATTCAATTTCTAGTTAAATCATATTACATATTAATTTATTAAAACTTAATTTACTTGATCAATTTCCAGTTATTCAGTTGAATTAGCAAATCACGTACCCAAATCTTTTAAAAATTATTTTTAATATTAGTACATTAAAATAATTTTAAAAAAATTAAAAATATATTAATTTATGATAAAAAAATTTAAAATTTTTTAAAAATATTTTTAAAATGTATCTCAACAAACACTAAGAAAATATTTAAAAAAAACAAAATAATATTGTTTCAATAAAACAATTAATCCAATAAATCAGACTATTTTTCAAATTAGACATTGTAGTAAAGTTTAACGTCATATTTTTCACTCACTAACAAAAGTGAGTTCAAATTACAAAAATCTATTTAATATGGTTGATATAATTAATACAAAATAGTAGAACCTTTTTGAACTTGAAAGCAAAAGTATATACAGGGAGCTCCATAAGCATTAGTGCTAATAAATTACTCATCAACCACACAGAATATATGTAGCTAAACAACCAGTTTAAAAAAAAATGTAAAATTTATGTAAAACATTTTTCGATGAAATTCCTGATGATACGGAGAATAAATTAATTCAAGAACAAGAGTTCAGCAGATGAGTCTTTATTCATGATAGAATGAAGGCTCAAATTAACCTTTTTAACCCTTGACGGGAGGATCATAGCATGTAACTGGAATTAATACAATATCGTTTTTTCTTGTGACTGACGCACTAACAATCTCGCTCATGTCAAAATCTTCAGGCTTGATTCCATTAGGAATTTTCCAGTCAAAATGTAACAACAATCTTGCCAGCGGCAACTCAACAGTAGCAATACCAAACGCCATTCCTGGGCAAATCCTTTTTCCAGAACCAAATGGGAGAAACTCGAAACTAGCACCTTTGTAATCAGTTGAACAATCTAAGAATCTCTCTGGGTAGAATTTCTCAGGTTCAGTCCAGAACTTGGGATCCCTCCCTATCATCCAGGCATTGATGAGAACTCTAGTTTTAGCTTCCAAGTCATATCCAGCAACCTTGCAGTTCACCTTACATTCTCTTGGATATATGCACAAGGGTGGATGTAATCTTAGAGTTTCTTTGAGAGTTAAGTTCAAGAACTGTAATTCATGAACGCTTGATTCATCAATGTACCCGACATCATTGAAAAGTGCTCTCACTTCTTTTTGTGCTTTTTCCCTGACTCTTGGATTTTTCATGAGTTCTGACATTGCCCATTCTAGAACTGTTAACGTTGTATCACCTCCACCAGCGAACATGTCCTGAAAACACACGCACAATAACATGCAATGCTTATTCCCAAGACAAGAACAATTATCTTGTTTGATTTTCATAGCAGTTTGAGACACATAGCTGTGTTAGTAAGATATTGAGACCTTGGATGCATACAGGGAAAATTATTTCTCTCAAGAAGGGATGCCACGTTTCTCAAATTTAGTGATCGATGGCTATGAAAAAGTCTTGATGTTTTAACTTACCATTTAAAGTATAATATATATATATATATATAACTTTTAAATCCATTTTAAATATGTACGTCTTCATAATTATCTTATCTCAGTATATTGAGTGGCCCTCCAAATTAAAAAAGAAAAAATAAAAAAAATTAACAAGTTAATCTTGATTAATGCACTAATTAGTATGAAACTACTTTTAGTAGTCAAATTATTAAAAAAAATCAAGATTTAGTCTCTATTTAGATTTTTTTTTTCAATTTAATGTTTAACATAATAATATAACCAACTTGGTAAGTAAAATTAACATGGTTTGTTCTAGTGTTATTCAAAATGAAAAAAATAGTTAAATATAATTAAAGATTTACCGTCTACACTCATGACAAAACTTTTATATATCAGCTTTTGTTTTTAAATATAATAAGAAATTTACTATATACATAAATATGAGTTTTTCTTTATGAGTTTTTCTTTATGAACAAATAAATAGCTGCACGTAGACATGATCATAGGATGAATTTAGTCGGTTCATGATTTGATTATATTTAAATATTTTCATTCTTATTTTTTTTTCTTCGATAATAACTAAACTTATCCTCTTTGCTTACACATTACTGGATGTCATACCCGTGCAATATTATGAGCTTGTGATATGTTTGTGTGTTTACGGGTTTGTGAAAAAGATAAAAATAAAAATTATATAAAAAAATTATTATAATCTATAATGTTTTCAAGAAAAAATTACAAAGTTAAATTCTTAATCAATTTAATATTTAAAAAATAAAATAAATAAAGAAAATTTTAGAAAAAATCATATGGGAGAACACTATAACAATTAACAGTGTTTTAAAGAAAAAAACTACAAAGTTAAAATATCAACTAGCTCAATATAAAAAAAATAAAATCAACAAAGACAATCCTGAAAAAAAAATAAAAAATCATAAAAGAAAAAAAACTATGTGGGGAAATATTATAGCAATCCACTGGATTTTAAATAAAAAACTACAAAACTAAATTTCCAACTAGCTCCATATTAAAAGAATAAAATCAACAAAAATAATTCTAAAAAATAAAAAAAAACATGTGAAGAAAGTTAAAATTGAATTCTCAACTAGTTTAATATTAAAAAAAATTGATAAAGATAACTGTGAAAAAAAAACATGTAGAGAAACTCTGTAGCAAAACAAAAACCATGTAGCTCAATATGAAAAAAATAAAATCAACAAAAACAATTCTGAAAAAAAATAAAAAAATCAAAAAAAAAAAAAAATTATATGGGGAAATATTATAGCAATCCACTGTATTTTAAATAAAAAAATACAAAAATAAATTCCCAACTAGCTCCATATTAAAAGAATAAAATCAATAAAAAAAATAAAAAAAAAAACATGTAGAAAAAGTTAAAATTGAATTCTTCACTAGCTTAATATTAAAAAAAAATTGATAAAGATAACTGTTAAAAAAAACATGTAAAAAACTTTGTAACAAAACAAAAACCATATAGAAAAATATTGTAACAAATTCATGATGTTTTAAAGAAAAAAACTATGAAGTAAAATTCTCAACTAACTCGATTTAAAAAACCAACAAAAATAATTTTATAAAAATATATATAAAAAAAAGGAAGTCGATCTTGGAAAAAGAAAAAGAAGAAAACATGTAAAACCCAAAAAAGAAAAATGGGGGAAAAGGGAAATAAACCAAGAAAAAGACAAAACATAAAAAAAAATGAACAAAAAAAAACATGTAGCGTGAAGAAAGAAAGTATTTTTCCCACGCCAATTACCAATTACTTTATTAGTTAATGTGTTGGCTCGTCTAGTAAAAAAAAAATTGAATTTTGCAGTACTAGATATTGATTTGTGAAACTTCATGTGTGTGCTCATGTCGGGAGGGCAAAAACAGCCCTGCAAGGATTTGTGCTTAGAAATATCAGCGTACTAACCAGGAGGAGTGCTTTGACGCATTCATCAGTTAAGGTGGGGTCCAAGCCTACAGTGAGTTGGAGATTTAAGAGAACATCAAGAAGATCCTCCACTACATTTTCAGCAATCTCTTTGTCTCTCTTGCTGGCTTTGCGCTCCTTCATCAGCCTTTCAACAATTTTATTTGCTTTTTTATGCTCCCTCCCGAGGCTAAACTTCCTCCAACTAAACATGTGAAGGAGTTTTTGGGATGGGTACAGATCAACCACATTGGCACCTCCTGCTGCTAGGGACAATTCTTTGGAAATTGTTGAGAAATCTTTGACTATGGTTGCGAATTCTTTTTGGTTTTTGCTATTCCTTCCAACGCTTATCCTTGAAATTATGCTATATGTGAAAGAAAACAATATCTGACTGAGGTTAATGGCCGATCCTTGCTGGGAAGAAATGGTTCTTATAAGACTCGCTACCTCTTCTTCCCTTGTTGCTATGAAAGTACGCACACGTATAGGACTAAGAACCTCCATCGTGACAATTTTTCGCAGCTGTTTCCAATAATCTCCGTATGGTGCAAATATAAGTAGTAGACATTTCCAGCAAAGAAAGGAGGCCTTTCATCAAAACAGCTCTCGTGGGTTTTCATCACTTCTTGTGCTAATTCTGCTGATGATATAATAATGGTGGGCACTTCACCAACCTGGAGCAGCATGATCGGTCCATACCTCTCGGCCAACTCTCTGAGGCGAATAAGGAGTGAAGGTCCACCCCCCAGCTGGTGAAGGTTTCCAATGATGCGCAATGCCTTTGGTCCGGGAGGAGGATTTCAACCTGAGTTGTGATTTGTTTTCGGTTCCTTGAAAATTTTAAGTAGAAGAAAGGTCATGAAGAGTAGGAAGGTTGAAAGGGCGCTGAAGGAGGGGAGTTGCCACTCCATAGTCAAAACGTAAAGGATTGGTAGAGGTTGATAGGTCACGCTGAGCCCTTGAAGAGAAAAGGGCCCAAGATAATCTTATGTAAGAGGATTGATTCAATTAGCTCTCAAAAATATGTATAAATGAGCATATATGGATCTGGTCTTTCCTATTACGTAAATTATAGATTAGCACAATCTTATTTCGTCTTGTCTATTCTGTGAATATCAGATTCGCATGATCTTGTACCCATTTCCTTACTGGTACACGTCTGTTTAGGAAAGATATAGTCATTTCTAAATTATCTTATTAAAAATTGAGTAAAAGGGGTTGGTGGCCTGCACTTTGTCACTTTCCACTTTCCAGGCTAGGTTCATCAAAACAATCTTCAAGGGCTGGCTCGTCTGATCAGGCCTTAATTTTATATTGTAATTGATCCTCGAGCAAACAAAATCACATGAAAAATGTTCCTCCACATGCCAATCATGAATGCAGTCCCTTGATCCTTGCTTCTTATATCTTAAAAGGGGGGTTTTGTCATTTGAGAAAAGAAGAAATGAGAGTAGAGCCTCTGTCAGTATCTGAAATCTTCTTCCTACAATTTTCACTGGTGTTTGTTTCTGGTTATTGGGATATCCCAAAACCACAAAAACTTCACCAAGCTTCAGCAACAATTCCAAGCAGCAATAATAGTGTCCTTGAGCTTAGATAAGATGTGGATCCCGCGACAGTTTCCTCAACCCTGGTCTGGTTTTTCTTCCAAGTTTCAATTGCCAAACCCAAAGTTCTTGCATTCTCACTAAGGGGTAGTAGAGATCGTTATTTCTCAGGCTGGGATTTCACCAAGATTTGATGCAAAGATAACAGTGGGGAAAGAAAATGGTACCCTGCCAGGTACCGACGACATGCTGGGATGAACTGATACAGCATGATACACAAAGTGCCCATGTCTAGAGTATACGCATGGACTAAAATCCATGATCACAATTAAGCATGTTAAGAAGAAATTCAATGAATCCTAAACGATACAGCTAAATTATTCAGATTTTAAATTTGTTTCACAGAAATCACTGATTTAAATGTTACAAATCACTACTAAAAAATATAATAATAAGCAACTAACTAATTCATTGTATAAAAAATTAATATCCGTTGTTATAAAAATTCAGTAATGGAAAATATTGTTGCTGACTATATTATTTTTATTAAATTAATTTATTTTTTTATCCAAATGACTTTTACTTATTTTAATTATTTATTTACGGATATTTTAAAAGTTGTAGAATATATATAAACAACATAAATTAATATTAAAAATGACTTTATCACCGATAATAAATAGAATAAAAATAAAATTTATAATATAAAAATATAGTTAAACTTGCAAAAATGCAAATAAGTTGAAATACAATAAAAAAAATACAATCATGATGCTTGTTGGGGAGACGAACCATGATATTATGGATTGACGTAAGATGAATCAGGTTATAAAATATGTTTAGGAGTGTAGTAGCGGTTGCTTTTTAAATAACTTTTCATGTCGAAATACATGTTAATAATGTTTTTTTTTTATTTTTTAAAAATAATTTTTAACATCAGCACATCAAAACGATTCAAAACATACAAATCATATTAAATTTTAACAAAAAATAAAAAAATTAAATATTTTAGGAACACAGGTTGAACTGCATTCCCAAATGGTTCTATAATAATAGAGGTGTAAGTCAATAAATTGGTGGAGATGTGGGACCTATAGGTGTTATTATCTAGGGAGCCATAGGTAGCGGCATTGATGGGGCTATAAGTGCTGGCATACTTTAACCAATATTTAGTATCCCACAATGGTATCTAAGATTATTCATAAGATATTCTTTCATGGAATCCATCTGCTGTTTCATTTCAAAAATAAAATCATCTTTTTTTATTTTCTCATCTTTTTTCTTTATCTCCTTTTGCAATGCCTAATAAAATGAACTAGGATATGATGACTCCATCGAGTATGAATATGATGAAGAGCTTGTATTAACTATAGATTTTAGCATACGAGGTGCACCATAAACCCTACCCTTTGTAACTTCTCCTGAAGCCACACATTAAGCTGCTTTATCAAATGAAGGATGATTTTCCCGATTAGTTATATATTTTGAAATCATTTCCTTTTCATAATTTTTCTATGAATAAAATCCATGCAATAATAAATTCATTTGGATGTTGAATAATATTTAAGTTATACAAATAAATAATCAAATAAAACTACATACAACCACTTTTTTAGATTTGTTGTTTGCGAAAATGCCAGACTACTTAGTTCTTTGATTTAAAGCTGAAAAGATATCATCCCATGGAGATTTTTTTCCACCAACTTACTTTTGCTCTCAAGATTAATAAATATTATAAAAGATAAATGTAAAAATTTTAATTCATTATCTTAAGGAAAAAAATCATTACTATGTTAGCTCAATATGATGCAAATAACATTGTTCCTCTAGAATGATGCTTATTTTACCATCTGTTTTGGTTAACCAATTTCTCCTAATAGATTCTGACCTCCTTTGAAATTCAGGGGTGGACCAAACATCTTTGATTATTTGATTCCAAACATCTTTGATTATTTGATTCCAATCATCATTGTTTATCCAAGCAGGACCTTTATCAAGGCAAGCTTAAGTGGATATGATTAAACTCTTTCTATGCCTTCTCATCAAATGGGTGCACCATAACCCCATTATTTGACTTATAAAAATAATGTCATGCCATATCTTTGGCATGATATGGAGACATGAATAGTCTCTGAAGCCTTAGTGTCAAAGAAAAGTATCAAAGTTGCTTTTACGCCTTATTAAAACCTTTATTAGTTGGATTTCTAGGTTTATATCATGAACTTCCAAAAAAATCACAATTTATTTTTGTTGTATCTGCCCAATAGTACAATATACAATAGTTAGAACACACATTATATTTCCTATAACCAAGTCCAAATGACTGCATAAATTTTTTGGCATCATAAAAATTTAATATCAAATGTTTATCATCGAGCATGTAACTTTTTGTAAAATCAATAAATTTGTTGAAGGTAGTCTGAATCAAATTTAAAGTTGACATCATATTAAGCAATTGTACACAAGTAAATAATTTGGATTGCTTGGTATACCCATCCCACGAAGGCTCCTCCTCAAATTTCAAAAGTTTATAAAAATTAGTTGCCTCTAAATTTGAAAATTCCTCTACTACCACATGATTAGACATATTATCACTAAAATATGTATCACCAACCCTCATTGCATCCATAATCAGACTTCTATATGGATTTTCTAGACAAACATCATTCACAACATGATTAATTCTAACCAATGAAGATCTAGCCAATATTGGTTTTGTGACATAAGGCTTCCTATGTATAGTTCAATTTTCATAACAAGGTAAACAACCTTTTGCTAATAGGTGCTTATAAACATCATTTTACTTCAAAACTTTTGATTTTTGCACCTCACACAAGGACATCTAATTTTTTTCTCAGATATATTTTTATCAATTGAAAATGCAAAATTAATAAATCTTCTAACACCCATAATGTATTCAAGACGAAGAAGACCATATATAAGACGACGATACATCCACAATCAATCATCCATATTAATCTAATTAACATGATAATATTAAAAAGCATTTTAGAAATAAGCATGTTTCCTTAACTACTAGTACTTAAATAATCCTTTAAAATAAAATATATACCACATAAACAAACTTTAATTATTTGTCCAATTCCACGAGGTAATTTGATAACAATATGTTGGGTACCACATCGTTAAGATATACAATCACCTCCACATCGATTAATAGTTAACTTTGATTTACCATAGTAATCTATCTTGAAATTAATAATAAAAATAATATACTAAAAATATTCATATTAAGTCAAACTTTATTTATTTTCTTATGTTTCTTTTTTTATTCCAGAAACCCTTGGCAATACTATATATTTGTATGGTTAGTATTAATTTTTATCGAGATATCTTTATTTCTTATAAAATATATTACTATTTTTTTCCTGTTCTTTTTTCTTTCATTCATTTTTTTGGTTTTTTGTTGATCTTTCTTTTTATTTCTTTCTCTTTCTCTTTTTGGGGTTTTGCTGAGCCAATTATACATGGAAAATAGAGTTTTTTTTATAATAAATGTGGATTATAATTGATTTAATGAGTATAAATTAAAAATAATTTTATAAAAAAAAATATTTCTAAATTAAAAGTAAAATAGTTAAGACTTCTAATTCAATTCATTTTTATGTATATTATAATTATTAAAATTGAATTGAATTATATGATTTAATAATTTATTTTAAATATAGGAATTGTAATAAATTATTAATTGAATCCAAATTTGCTTTGAAATAAATTTAATATGTGATTTGGTTCCAAATAAGGTTTAAGTTGTAAGGTGCTCAAGAATTTAAAAATATTATTATTTATTTATTTCCTTTTTAATTTTTGGAGTAAATTATTATTTTATCCTTATGTTCCTAGTGAAATAACGATTAGTCTCTTTGGTTTGAAAAAAAACTCAATATTAATTTTTTGCATTTTTTATATTTTTTTACCACTTGTCTTCTCATAACA